TATTATAACCATGCAACTCATAAAAGTCAATAGCAATAATATTAATGATAATGACAATGATAATAATAATAATAATAATAAATAACCTGTGTATTATTACTGAATACTGCATAATAGAAATACTGACACTAAATAATAAATAATAAGAATGAATAATGATAGTATGATTTAATAAAAATTGTATGGTATGAGAAATGAATTTAAAAAGAAAGCATGAATTTTCAGAATAATTTCTAAGAGTTTTCAAAACTGCAAATTTTTCTGTTCTTATCAGCCATGACCTGCATTCTATAATACTCCAATAATTGCTCTGAAAATGGCTGATTAGCATTGAGAATCAATTTAATAGATGAATCGTTCAACGTTCTTTGCAAGTCTTCGCTGAATGATGAAAAAGTATTAAAATCAGAAAGCTTCGTGTTTGCTTTGAGTTTGAATTTAAACTCATGCAAAAATAGTGAAATCCGAAATTTTTGACGGAAAAGAAAGTTCTGAAAGCGCGAGAGAGTATTAAGCTGTAGTAAATACGCAAATTATGCTAGAAAAAGTAGCAAAGCTGAAAGGTATTAAACGGTGGGAAGACTAGATCATTCAGATGTGAAGTAACAACGAGAAGAAGCGTAGTACTGATTAGCGATAAAGCAGAATAGCTGTGCAGCAAATTAGATGAAGATTGTTGCATTGGTAAGTACATTATGGACGCTGCTGGACAAGTTTCATACGATGAGAATGAGGATGGATCGTTGGAATCTGAAGATCTATGCTGCTTTCCGCAATCCATAAGACTGAACGTTTTAGTAAAGCAAAAGCGTACATCTCCCAAATACCATTTATTGCTCTATAATATGTGGAAATTTTGTGAGTAAGTCAGTCAGTCAAATTTTTGAAAGAAAATTTCATTGCATAGATAAACATTTACGTGATAAAATAGTAGATAGAAGTGCAGTGACGTGAAGTGAAGTGAAGTGAAGTGAATACCTTGCTTTCATGTAAACAATGAATTTCCACTTCCACTCCATATGCAGACTTTAGTTGCTGAAGTACTTCTGACGCTGTGTACAGTTTATTCATTGATGGAACGATGTTTAGCTGTTTTAGTTTCCTAAAATTTTTAATTAGAAAAATAAATATTTTGAAAAGTGAAATTTGCAGCTCAAAAGTTTGCAATCAACTGTACCTCCTAGAAGTTTGATGAAATACTTGAAATTATTTTTTATCATAAATTGTCTTAATGAAAAATGTTTATTAGAAATTTGTTAATGAATAATTCGGTGTGATACCTTCCGTAATTGGTTCCGATAGTTGAGGGGAATCAAATTAATTTTAGAAGCATTTTTATTTTTTAATTTCATTAAATCAAACTGTAAATTGTACACATTATTGCTATGTAATATGTGTAAATTAAGATATAAACTAAACTTAGTACAGCTCAAAATATTATCACTTTTAGATAATCCAAAAAGTGTGTGTATTTGCTTTCTATTAAACTGATATTATTTCCTCTACTGAAGATATTTGACCCAAATACAACAATGTAAATCCAGTAAATTGCATACTTGACTAGTATTCTGAACGGTTGATGATATATCAAATAGAAGACTAGTAAAACATAGAATGTTAACTGAAAATATTGATGTAGAAAAAGGATCTGAATGAAGTAGAGAGTAAACTGAAGCAACCAACGCAGCAATATCAAGTGTTTGAAGCAATTTCAACGATTCATTGAAATATTTTACTTCTTCATTAACTCGATCAACACTAACAGCACACGTACCGTGTTTTTCCCATTCGTGCTCCCTAGAAGAACAACACCAATTTCAAGATTTAATGCATATTCATCATGTTGGCAATAATTTGAAGTACTGTCAGTACTAGACTGAAATTTGTTCGGTAAAAAATTTAAAGATAATTAGGGAACTAAACAGCGAAATGAAGTTAATTAGTTCACTTTCTAGGACTAATTTTATGCTAATCAAATTTTGCGATAAGTAAGCTCGTGCAGATACTATATTTTCAGAATAATTCTTTTAAATATATTAATTAACAACAGTATATATGATCATTTGACCCCACCATAACGACGACACGGACTTGTGAGTAAATAGATTAGGCCAGGATATTTCCAGCTGAGCTTTGATGCACTCAACCTTCTTAATGTCAAATTTTTTTTCTCTATCGCAGTACTGAGGATACGAGTTATCACTGCGTTGAGGCCTTAAATTATTTAGCATATGAATTGAAGGAGAAAGAGTAAGAAGACTTAAGACTATACTGCTACTCTATTACTGGCAAGCAAGTAAGTGAATAAGAAAGCAACAAATTCAAGACGAGAGATGGAAAATACACATTAATAATGCCTTACAATTTAACACTAACCAGAGGCCATGAATTACCCACAGACTGGCTTGCTTAGGCACCTCACAGTCAGGCCCAGCGGCTGAGTCTTCACTCTCAGCCTCCTCATGCTTATTTTGATTATACACGAAGCAAGCAGATGTGGGATAGATTATAGTGAAAATGAAATAATCAAATGTAGACGAATTGTTGTGTGCTTTCGCGTCATAACAATTGTCGCCCTCAGTTAAGCACAAATTGTCGCCATCTATATTAAATGTTACTGATATTATTGACAATAATATTAGTAACTTCATTACAGTCTGCAATTATAATTACAAAAAAACGGGTTAAATTAAGTGGACAACTCTTGCAAAAGAATCCTTGCATATTTGTATGATTAATTAGCACTGGTGTAATTCTTTGTGTAAATATTTAAAGTTCACGTGAAGAAAAAATGGATGGTTTATGTAGTGTATAAGTGCATAAATTCTAAATGCGGGATTCTAAATGCTTTCTACAAACTTTACTTTTCATAAGCATTGTAAAATTTTATTATGAAGGTGTTGGTGCATGCAGCTTTGATCAATTTTAATATAATAATGATTCATCATCGCTAGAAGTATTAATCTGAGCTACTGCTCCAAAAGTATCGTCTGAATTATTTACAAATTAATATGTGTTTCTTATCTATCTTCTTATTCTTATCTATCACTTCAAGTCACCGGTGATGTTCGATTTTTTCGGTAAAGATGTTAGAAAATGTAAAAACTTTTCTTGTACAAAAAAATTTATCTTCGGGTCACACATAACTCAGAGGTACTGTATTATCAGTCTTTTAATCAAAGTCATTAGCAACATCTGGTAGTGTTATATAACGGTTCACTCTGAATCTCGATGCACTATATTAGAATGGTCATTTTTCGGTATGGCAATACAAAATATACTTTTAATGAAACTCAGAGGAAGTTAAGATCAGATACTATGTGAAATCAATGTCTTTAAAATGTTTTAGATAAATAGTAACTCCCAATGAATTATTTTCACAGCATGGAAGTGCGAGTTCTGATGACTAGTAGCCCATGCTATCCTATCACACACGTGGAACCACTCAAATGAAGGTGTCTTCGGATAAAAATTATCAAAAGTTTGCTTTATTGAAGGAAAATGTTTTTGAATACTTCCAAAATGCTTCGCCCTTGAAATTATTTTCACGTATTAAACTCCAATTGATATCACTAGTCTCGCTGTTGAATCGTAATGAATTGTCATTTTTTTGCTCAGCCAACTATTCTTCTCAACTATGGTGATGCAATACTTCAACATATGACAATTTCTACCTCTATACTGTAGCCATTATTTTAAACAAAAGTTAGAAGTTCTGAGTAGTATACTAAACATTTAAACTCAGTGATAAGCACAGCAAAAAGGGAAAATGAAAGCATATGTTCAAAAAATGTTTGTATTGTGTGAAAGATCAAAACTTCATGAAATTAGTGCAGTTCTATCAAAACATATTTTGACAATACGAGAATATACAGAAAAAAGCTCAGTTAGAATGAAATGCAGTTTGTTTGCACAGTCTATGCTAAGTTTTCCAACGTACTTTTTAATATGCTAAATAAGAAAAAAGACGTGCAAAGAGTTTGAGAAGAAAAGCCCGACGGAACTCGACAGTATTGGCAATACAGTACTTCGTATTTAAGGAAAATCAGTTCTTTTAAAGGCCAAAAAACAGGCATAAAACAATTGAATACATTAACAGATAAGAGTAGCAGTTCACTCGTAAGTTCAAGAAATGACTGTCACTAAGTTGAACCTCAAATGACCTTTTCATAATCAGTTGTGTTTGAAAGTTTTTCCACACGCTGCCAGTACAAAAATTGCCCTTATCAAGAAGCTTTTCAAGCGTTTTATTATATACTTGAACATTAGTTCCCACTCAACATAACTTGTTATCTGCAAAAAACAAGAAAGATGTGAGAAAAATATTTTTCATTAGCTGTGCACCTTCAAATTAAATAGTAAAGTGGACAATGAGCTTTGCAAGAAACACTAAAAATACTCACAAAAATTAAAGTTTCCAAAGTGATATTTCAGAGTAGTGCATGTGAAAAAAGTTTAAAAGTTAGTCATAAAAATACTGAAATAAGTTAAAGAAAACAACTATACAGCAAGACAAAAAAACGAATTATTATGACAAAGCTTGAAAATGATTGAGTCATGAACTTTGCCTTCACCAAATTGCATGAATTAAATTTCTGGAAGAACACACAACAAATAAAAGTTTACTGATTAAATGATAGAGATTTACACCATTCCAAGCAAGTTCATACCGTTTACTTCAAACTATCTATCTCAAGACGATATCACAAACTGCTTTGTAATCCAAATTTTTACTTTTAGTATTACTGCTATCCTAGTTATTTGAAACTTGGACTTGGAAAAAGCATACAAAAATAATTTTAAAACAACTAAAATTACAGTTATATAGATAAAAAAATAACAGAAGTGTCTTAATGATTCGATGAAAAACACAAAGGCAACATTAAAGAGCAAGCTTGAAAACAATGGCAGTTTATGCCTGCACAAGACCGATATTTTAAGGAAGATCTGAAAACCACAATTGCTGAACTCACTGACGAACAAAAAACATGAAACAATAATTACAACGGAGCTAATATAAAGCATACACGCATGAAAACTTAGCTGTGTATGGAATAATTCGCACCTAGTCATCGTATAAACTCATTTTTTATCAAATTTTGAGCAAAAATTGTAACTTAGCTTGAAGAATCATCAGCAACAAAGCTTTGCTAAAAATATAAACACTTCAAATATAGTCAGATTCTATATTTTTTCTAGCACAGTCATAGATGTAGAAAACAGAGCTTGATTTACTTTCAAAGCATCCCATAATCACTTCCTTCTAACATGCCGGTTTCAGAACGGAACACATAGATGTGAAAGGTTGTGTAAAACCGGAAATTACAGTCACTAAGAGTAGAATATTTGCTGAATTGTAAAAATTAGAGCATAACCATGAAATGCAAAAATGATAGCACGTCAAACAATTACATCAAGAGATATGCAATGTGTGCTCTCAATCATTTGATTAAAGCAAATAATAGAGTAATTTTATCAGGTTTGCATTGAAATACCAGTTATGGAAGGAAAAATGAAATGGCAGTGGCAATAAGAGTAAAGAACGAAAAGAATGGCAGTCAACAATTTTCAAGAAATTCATAAAATTAATGGTTCAAATCTAGCACTCTTTTATTGCCCTTTGCAAACTTCTTAGTGAAATATAAAGTGAAAGAAGAATATAAGCAAGTACACAAGAAAGCAACTTCTGAATTCACTGGAATGTATGCCATGTTAATGAATTTCTAATGTAAACACACTAACAGATATAACCTGTTGATTAATACACATAGCCTTCTATCTTTTTGCCAATTTAATCACTAAATTTAATTATGTCAAACAACTGATAAATTTGACAGCTATTAATTAATGAAAAGCAAGAGAGAGAGAAACAGGTATGCGATAAAACAATATTCATCAAAATAATAAAAATAACAAAATAACCGATAATAATACATCATAAATAACGTCAATCTAGAACAAGTTTCTACCTTTTTTGCAAACGTAATTCGCAGCGTAAAACTTCAATAATTTCACTTTTAGCTTTCTTAAATTCTTGTCTCACTTCATTTAAAATATCATCCTTCCATTTATCGAGCATTTCAAGAGTTACAACATTATTAATAGTAGTTGTTGTTCCACAGGTTGACCTCAACTCATCTTGATTTAGCAAGGTAGAACTTGGTAATCTGAAGTTCAGTACACTTTTGTAATTGTTAAAAAACTAGACACGATACTTAAAGTAGGATAGTAAAGAAAATTATGAATAAAATGTAAATTCTTCAGCCAAAACTAGTTCATATTTAATTGTAGTTAATGAATTAAATTAGCCAACTACAAACTTTGACCTGAGAAAAACAGATTCTCTCCCCAATAATTGCTGTGGCAGTCATAGCACTTAGCCTATCCCCTTTTATGTAGTCCAAACGGTCAGTTATTACTTACTTTCGTTGCACTTTAGGAGAATCAGAGAAGTTTCCATTGCCATTAACTTGTTTTTCCCACGGACGACGCAAAGCACCGTTGCTGAGACTATTTGTTGTCGATGGTGTTGTGTCGCTGCCTCAAATCAATCAAAATTAATCGTTAGATAAAAAGTGATAATCTTCTCGTTCGCTGAAACTGCATTTATCACAAGACTTGATTTCGTTTGCACAATATTCCATTAAGTTGATTAAGTCTCTCATTTACTTGTACAGTAAAAGAGCACTTCTGATTTCTTGTTTGAAGCAGTAGAAACTTCAAGTGTCTACCAACACAAGCCAAGAAATTCCCACAGCTAACTGCCTTTAAAAACTGACATATTTTGATTACATCGTTTTTAAAGAAAATTTGAACATTCATGCGTGCTTTCAATTCCACCAATAACCGATTTGCCTACAATCGTCTATCACTTTTTTATTTCACTTTCAAATTTCCAAAGCTAACTTTCGGGAAATTAGCACGATTAATCTTGTTCAATTACGTGTTTAACTCAAAAATTTAATTCAACCGATTGTATTTATATATAAATAATACTTACCAACTGAACGTGCATCACTGTTATCACACTGATTTTTACGTTTACTGAGAGTTGCTTCAAGCTCTGACAATAAATTACTGCTTCCTGAAAAAATTACCAAACACTGCGCCATTTTTTTGCCATTAATCTTTTTGAGAGGACATAATTTAAAAGCTCACTCGAGCAATATGCAAAATAATGCAAAAAAGTGACATGCAGATGTATTAAATTGAAGTACAAATCAAAAATACAGCAGAAAATATAAATCAAAAAAAGTAATTAACAACATCCAAGTCAAAAAACAGACCAGGCACCAATGCATTATAATTATGATATGATTCGCAGTGATTCTATTAATGCACAATACTAATTAAAAAACAGAAAACTGCCTTCAAAAATTACCTGAAAGTGCTGAATTTGCAGATGACGGAGGATTAACTTTTCGAAGTTGCACTTTTTTTAACTGATCCGAGATAGAACTTCCAGTGCCCTTGCTTAACGACAGTGATGACGAAGGAGGTGGGGGTGGAGGTGCTGGTGGTGCATTTGAAGACACGGTTGCTGTAAATTCATAGCATTAAAAAATTAATTAAATAAACGAAATGCAGCATGAATCAACCCTTTCAACTGTCTCAGTTTCTGGCAGAAATGCAACACACTCGATCAAGTTATAGTAAAATTAACGTAAAAATACCGTGATATTTCTTTCTGTGAGGAAAAAGAATCATCATCGCGGTAGAGTGATAAATACATCAAATACTCTACCGCTATGATGTTTTTTTCCTGCGAATACTCAGTTCGTTTAATCAACAAATATAAAGTATAACAGGAGCTTAAAGTTTATAACAGCTTACCAACATTAAGGGAAGTAGCAGGAAGTGAAGTAGATGAATTTTGAAGAGGTATAGCAGGTGCAGGTCGAACAGGACTACTCGTAGAGCAAGCATTATTGGCGGAGGTTGTAGAATAAACTCCGGGAGGAAGTGAAGAACCGTTAGACGAACTTGATGAACCTTGCGAGGCACGTCGTTGTACATTTGTTACCATAACAGTTGATGTTGGCGCTTGAGATAAATTTGCCGCAGTTGAAACTGTTATCGCACTACCACTTACGGAACTCTGTACTGACTGAGATGATTTCCTGCAGTTTAAACAATATCGTGACATCTATTCCTATCCATAAAATCTGTAGAAAGCATTTCAGCTAAAGTAAACTTACAATAACATTTACTGACGTAAGATACATATAAATGAAACAGACAAATAATAGCAACAAGGTTCAATAGTTTTATTTCTATCCACTCGGATTCTAAGAGGTGAAATTAAGTATAGATATCATGCTCAAAATCACTAAACAATGATAATCTGAAACCCCGTCTTAGATTGTTTTCACATCAGAGGAGAAAATTTTTCAGTAAAACTACAACTAGCCTTTTTAATAAATCGTAAGAATAATACTGAACAACCTCTGAAATACAATCTAATATGAATAAAATGTAGTGTGAGTTTCACTTCTTTCGCACTATTTTGAAGCAAATAAAAGCATTTTATTTAAATTTAAGCTACTGCATCGCAAGCAAGCTTAACTCGAATTGTGTATAATTTTTGTTTCTCAAACAATCTGCACCCTTTCATAACATCATAACAGCACTCTCATGTTTCCATCAACAACAAATATCACTGCAGTGATTACAACTTGCAATCTTTCCGTGAAACACGCTGTTGAACTCAGTATCTTCGCTATACATACTTATCTATAGAAACAGAAACTACCGGAACCGACGACACGAAAAACAAGTTTAGTGCTCAATGAGGTCCAACTCTTAATTAATTATGACAATCAAAATCAGCCAAAAGTAATTTCAAGTAGTCCAAAGCAGTACGAGTCACAGACCTACGAGTGTTAACTCTCTCATTCCATAAGTCAATTTTTTATTATCATATTTTCTGCCTTTAGTAAATGCTGCAAAAGAAAAGAACTCAATATACTAAATAAATAATATTGATATAATTCAAGTTGTGCGGAATAAGAAATAAAAATTAACACAAATAAAGGCTTATGAGCATTCTTTCATGCACCTGCACGACATCTGCAAAAAAGCTTCAAATTCCTAAGTACAATTACAAACATGTCAAATTTACTGATTTCCATTTTGAAACGTTAGCTAAATTAGCAAAAATTACACCAAAATAATGGAAAACTTATCAGTTTATTAGTTTAGAAAAAAGTGCGTGAAAAGACAGACAAAGATTGCATACACACAACACAGGTACTTCTGTGCGTAAAATATTAGAATTTAATTTTAATGAACAAAAGGCTAAAGAAGAAGAAGTTTATATTAGCAATAATAAACTACAATCCTTTTATTTCTCTATCACAAGAATTTATCTTATGATAAATTATATGTCAGTAAATAAATTAACTGACAAAATGATATGAAGCTATTTTGCAACAACGCACCAATTCATAAGATAAGAAAAAAGTTTGTTATTTTTGGAACAACACATTTGTTGTGTATTAAAAATACACAACAATGGAATCTTAAAAAAGAAGTTTACTGAAGCTTAAAAACATTTAACAACTGTACTGGAAGCAAAATTCTGCCTGCTCCATAGTGCAAACAATTCACGAAACATAAATCACTCATACAAAAGCCAGTAGTCACAGCTGGCTTCTGAAACTGGTCAGTTATTCTACAAAGAATGCAAAAATTTTGCATCCATTGTAAAGGAAGAAGATATTTCCTACAATGTGAGGTTAGTCGAATTCATACATGACAACAGTTAGTCACACTGCAAATTATTCGAAAAGAAAAAAAATTAAGGGCAGAAACTCACTTCCAAAAACAGAAACAGAAATGATGTAGGAAAAAAGTGAAAATTCTGCTGCAAATACTGTCTAATCTTAAATTCTTATTTCTTGAAGCCATGCCAATCGACTCCATCTTCAGTCACCATAAAACCATGAAAGTGCAAATGCAATAATCCTCATCACATAAATTAAGAGTAGTTTTTCTTTAACATCTGAATTAACACATCGTCCTTCTACAACAGTATTCACTGATAGCAATTTAATAAGCATACATCATGAAAAATGAACAAGTATTTACATAAATAATGAATGATATGATGAGAAGAGAAATCAATTTCAGACAGCACAAAAATGTTTATATTCTTCTGAATATCATTTACATCATTTTATTCACTGTCTAATGTAACCACTTTAAATCTTGTTACCCAAAAATCTCTTAATTATATTCAAATTCGTCGAACAATGGGATTAGAATGATTTGAACAATTATTCTACTAAGCTAAACTTTACAGACCTGCTTAAAAAATGACTTTAAAAATGTGAGAAAAAATAGAGCTTTAAAAGTTTTGCCCAATATTATAAAATGCAGGCAAGATAGAAAGAGTAAGAAGCATCGAAGCATGGTGTTTTTCTCACTCAAAATCGGAACCTTGCACCAAAAAACGAAAATCTTTTCAAATTGAAATAAATGGACAAATGGCTTGTCCTTGAACAACACTCAACGCATTTTGCTCCTCTTCCCGTTATTCATATTCACTTTGCCAACTCAAGCAATACTCACAGCCACCAACACCACACTGCGCATTACCACCAACATCCATTCTTTCTTACAAATTTAATCTTCCCAAATATTGCAAGTTATATTGCCATTTTCCAGTATGTAAATCTCATCTCATGTGCAAATTATCACTTCAATTCTTATAAATGCTAACTGCATTCTTTCCTTTTTCTTGCTTAAAAATTGAACTTTTCCAATAGTACCATACTAACCTAAAGTTATTCACAGTCTGTATCGATGAGGCGCTCCCTCCACCAGAATACAAACTCTCATCATCACCACCACCGGTACGAAATGTTGGTGCGCTATATGCATTGTGATGTAACTGCTGCGGCTCTTGATAAATGCCATTGGAAAAACCTAAATCACCTCCTGAAAGCAAAACAAAGCAAATTATTATCACTTCCATTACTGTTACTTTGATTCACAAAAAATTATTTTAAAAAGAAGTGATTAAAATAAAAACCACACAAACTAAAAAGAATGATTTGATGTCTATGCAAATACCTAGATAATATCATTCATATTTTAAGTAATAAAAGTACCATTTTGATAATCACTGCTTGAAGTTAATATTGACAGTGCCTGTGTTATTACTTTTACAAAAAGACGAGCATCTTCCTCCTGCATAAAATTTAAGCCATAAACCTGAAATAATAGCTTTCTTTTCAATGTAATCAACAATTTGGTCATTAATTATCAGTACTACTTATGTACAAATCATCAAATTCTATACAAAGATATCACGAGAATTACTTTTCTTTTCTCATCTCTCCATTGATGGAATGTTGGCGTTGCTGGCTTATATCTTAACCTTTCATAAACATTGCAATTAAGTATCCAGTGGCCATCCTAAAACATACCAATGAAATATATTCAGTCTGTGATATGTTTTCAAGAATTCAAGTTTAAGTGTCTTAAACCAATTCAAAGATCTGTCTCACCTGTAAACGCGTACCAACAATACGAAAAGTATTTGCATGAACGTTATGTAATATACGGACGTGTGATCGAGCTGCTTCTCGAGACCCATCAGGAGAAAGCCACTCTTTCGTCGCATCATTGTAAATCATCACATCTGCTGTGGCTATTGCTACGGTGGACTCTCTGCAAATTAATTATAACAAAATCAAATTTGCAAAAATATACCTGCAACTTTCAATTTTTGTCATTTTGCTACACTGAGCAATCAGACGGATTACATGGACACTTATGCAATCAAACAGTTGATCATCATTCAATTATTCTCAAGCAAAAAATAATAAAATGGACTTTTTAAAAATGTAGCAATCTCAATAACAAATTTACAAAAATGAGTTCAAAATTTTTTCTCATACACCCATCACCATCAACATCACTATAACCATCATTATCATCATCGTTACAAACAATAAGTACTACAAAATAAATAAATTTTGTAAAAAACACTGTAAAAAATAAATAAGCATTAACCGTAGATTCTTTGACTGATTGCTGATGTGGAAAAATGCAAATGAATGACCCGTGCTGAGATAAAAAGTGTGAGAAAGAAAACGGAAGTAGTAATAAAACTTTTTTGGTAGTTACACATCAACGATGCACGTTAACAAAGCCAATTATGCCCGTAAAGCAGTAAGAAATTTTGTAATGGAAGAAGTATAAAAAGTGTACACATAAATAGTAAAATATCTGTTTTGCACAAAACAATCAAATTTTACCGCAAAAAATAAACAACAGCAATTAATATTAATACATTTACAACTAGAAAAAAAGGTTTTATTATTAAAAAATATATTAACACAATTAATCAGATGAAATTCTAATAAGATCAAAATTACTTAAATACAAAAAATATTTTTCACCTGAGTTAAATATGCACGAATGCTTATGTAAATTGCAATTTGAATATAAAAGCTCTCTAGAGAAAAATAAAAAGACTTTTTGCCTTCACAACAGTATGACAACAGAACAGAACGTAAGTGTCCAGCAGAAAGATCCCTAATTATGCTAACATTTGTTCCAAACTAAACCACCATTTCCACAAGTAATTAATTTGATGATGGTGCAACGCATAATTAGTTAGTTATCATGCAATAAGCCAATTTATTTTCTGGCACCATAAATCTCTCAGATCTGTACCCTTCATTTCATGTTATGAATATAATTAAAGGTCAAGAACAGCAGCCAGTCTTTACATTTTCTAAAGCATTCATGCGGAAAATTAGTCTTCTTCAATTGCTTTTTGCTCTTTCTACCAACTGCACCAACACTTTTAAGACAACATTTCACTTAAAGAAAAATAAACCTGTTTACTTTATGTAAGAAAACAAAACATAATAAATAATGCTACGCACAAAATAATGCTAGAAAATATATTACTCCAACTTAACGTCCAGATAAAACATCTCACCACAATAAAAATACTTAAGTATGCCCAGCTCGTAAAAGCAAGTGTTAGGATACGTCAGCATCAAGAATAGTAGTTTATGTTTTGTTTATATCGGTTGTAATTTAAATATTCAAGCAAATCCTCTACTACTCACAGACAAAAGAAACAAGATCGTAAAAATAGCTAATGATGGTATTGAAAAATGCGCCCTAAAACTTCTAACACCAAAATTTTTCTCTTGACACAATAACACATTCAATGTCCTTCAAATTTTTTAATCAAATCATGCAAATGATTATTTTGGCTGCCTCGAGGACAAATTCTAATTACAGCGATTCATGCATCCATAAATGAACCTTTACCTTTTTATCCGTTTTGATATTTCAATAAACATCACCGTCTCTAAAATCATGCTATAAAATAATCTCTACACTGCGATCATTTCTGATAACAGATCAAACTTAGCACTATTCCTTAGACAATAATGACACCAATTAGTAAAATGTCATAACTTCGGTAGTAAATACTATAACATTGACAAGACAAGATCTAGCTAATTTACAGTTTTCAGATTCAGTTGACCTTCCAATTTTTATATTCAAAACAAGCAACAAATATTTGCGATGTAAACACACTTATTGCTGCAGCTATCACAGAAAGCGGAAATTGATTCTACACAAGCATGCTAACAATAGCAAATTAATTTAAGCAAACATGCCAACTACCCTTCTGATTAATGACTGAAATATAAATCGAATTACTAATTGCTTAGCATTATTAGCCAAGTAATTTGTATCACACAATTTCATTTAGCTGCGAGAACGGAATAACTTTTAAGTAAACTTTAATTCACAATTAGCAAGACTGCTAGAGACTAGACTACGGTTGAGCTTCATCTTCACTTTGCACTTTTTGTAATCAGTAATGAAGTGAGTCAATAGCACTGTCAAATCATGAATATTAATTCAGAAGTTTTGCTACAAATTATTATGAAATTAAAATAGGACTGATGTTCAGAAGCAGCAATTACATACTTTTCTCATCATGCTTCATTCGTAATGCACTTAGAAGAATAAATAGCAGCATCTACTGAAATACTACTTTCCATTCAAACACTTCAAGCAAAATGCTGCCATCGTAATTGCATTTCAAATTCTACAAAACGATAACAAAACGTCAACCCAAGCAAGCGAATCTAATCTCTGCATAAATAGTCTAGCATTCATACATCTCTTTGCATTACGTTGCAAAAGAAAATTCTTCTACCAGCGTACCATAATTGGTGTCCTTGAAGGGTGTGTTATTCACTCAGGTAAAACTATGATGACAAAATAAGTAGTCGAAGCTCCTTTAATCTAATTATATCAGTGCCAGCATCACTATTATCCTTTCATGCATTAACATTTCAAATTTAATTTAGCACTCTTCCTCTGCTACAAAACTTACTTCAAGCACACTGACTTACTCATTTCTCGCAGTCAACTTGCCTGTACTGAAAAAAATGATTAGCAAAGATAAGCAAGAATGCTTACTGATATAGAACAAGGACTAAAAGCAGTCACATAAGCAACCGATTTCAATTACAATCACCAGCTAAAACGTGAACTTAGTACAAATCGTATATATGTAATATGCTTGCTGTATTTCCATTTTGGCTAACTTTGAACTGTAACTAAGATTAAGTTAACCTTAAACTTAAATTATTCCTTTGCCTAATAACATGAAGTTTAACTAACGAAAGTAGGGCTCTGACTGCATTTATTGCTAAAATACAAAAATAAGATAACTTTATTCAGAAAAAATTTTATAATTGCACTTATCTTGCTAAAGTAAAATTGTCAAACAAACAAAAACGTAAAATTTACTTTTCATTCAAAATTTTCTTAAGAAATAGAATTCTAATCTACCACTGAATCAATCAGAGCTCAATGCAATAAATTTTATACAAATGTGATAAAATAATGCATGTGAAAAGGCAATTTGCGCATATTTTAGAACTGAGAAAGAAGAATTATGGAAAAAAAGGATATTATCATTAGCGAATTTATTTATAAAGTAACAAAAAGTACTTCTTGATGAATTAAAGGTGAAAGGTTACTTATAACTTACTCCATATGTATGGGATCAAGAGAATTCACGATTCGCAAGGTGAACTGCTGCAGTACGGCAAATTCGCAAAAGTGAAACCAAAATTTGATGAACGAATAAATAAATAAGCGATGCAGCAGCAGAAATATAGAATGCAATCAGTCGTTGCTTCCCTGCTTTTTCCACTTTTTCCTCCTCGACAAAAATCTCTTCTCTTCTGCTGATTGACCCAAATTAGCAAAATACTGAAAATGCAAAAGGTAAGTGTATAAAATGTATACACATAAAAGCACAAGGAGCACGTCTTTTAATTGAGTGAGACAGAGTTGGAAATTGTTATATACCAATTAACATCGTTATCAACATCATTATCAATACGAATATCATTATCAATGCATCATCATTACATCTGCAGCATTGCAAACTACTTAACTACTGTCATCAAGCTTGCTATTATCATTACCGTCATTCTCATCAGCAGTACAATTATCACCAATTTTCTTGAGCTGTTGTTATTGACTCTTAAATGAGATATATCCATAATTAACCATAATAATAAAAATAGTAAATCTGATAAACATAAAGATAGATAAATAGATAGATAGATAGG